GTCCTTTTAAATTTGCTTATACTTGATTTGTGTCCAATTATGTGGTCGATCTTAGAATATGTTCCATGTGGTGATGAGTAGAATGTGTATTCTCTGGTCTTTGGATGGAGTGTTCTATAGGTATCAATTAAGTCCATTTGGTCCAGAGTCTCATTGAGGTTCCGGATCTCCTTGCTGATTTTTTGTCCTGATGATCTGTCTAAGGTTGTGAGTGGTGTATTAAAGTCCCCAGTTATTATGGTGTTAGAGTCAATGTCTTTCTTTAGTTTTCCTAGAAGTTGCTTTATGAATGTTGGTGCGCCTATGTTGGGTGCATATATGTTTAGGATAGATATTTCTTGTTGATGGAGTGAACCTTTTATCATTATGTAGTGGCCCTCTGTATCTTTTTTAATTTTTGATAGCTTAAATGGTATTTTGTCTGAAATTAGGATCGCGACTCCTCCTTTCTTTTGTGTTCCATTCGCCTGAAAATTTGTTTCCCATCCTCTTACTTTGAGTCTGTGTATGTCCTTTCTAGTGAGATGGGTCTCTTGAAGGCAGTATATTGTTGCCTGGTGATATTTTATCCATTTTGTCATTCTATGTCTTTTCAGTGGTGCGTTTAGTCCATTCACATTCAGACTAATTATTGAAATGTGAGAGTTCATCCCTATCATGGAGTTCTTATTGAGTTATTGTTCTTCCACTTGGTTTTTTCTTTTTTCTTTTTCTTTTTTTTTTTTTTTGTCTTTCTTTTGCTTTTGGGGTTGGGTCGTGTATATTTTATTCTTTTCCCTGTACTCTTGTGAAGAACGTTGTTCTTTTTTCCTTTTCTTCTGTGTTTAGTACTTTCTTGAGTGTTTCATGTAGAGATGGTTTTGTGGCTGCATAAGTTCTTAGGGATTGGATATCTGGGAAAGATTTTAATTCTCCCTCACTGATGAAGCTTAGCTTGGCCGGGGAGGTTATTCTTGGTTGAAATTGTTTATCCTTTAGGACTTTGAAGATAGGGCTCCAAGCTCTCCTAGCCTGCAGGGTTTCTGCAGATAAATCTGGTGCTAATCTGATTGGTCTTC